GACGGCGGGGCCCTCGGCGACCCGCGGAGTCGGTGGTCTGACCTGCTAGGCGCTGGCCCGGGGTAGCCAGGTCAAATGGCCGAGAACAGCCCGGCGCCCACGTCAAGGCGATCCGACAACGGCCCCACCTGCCAGGCCCATCGCTCTAGGTTGGCGCCAGCTACCCCCACTTCGCCATCTTTATTCGCGCGCCCGCCCTGGGGCTCTGCAGAGGGAGGGCGAGCGGTGGCTGCAGCTCCCGCTTCCCGGCTCAACCCCCGGCCGGCGACCGCAAGGGAGCCTCGGCCCACGTGATGCAGGCGCGCACGTAACCTGAGGAGTTTTTAAAAAATATTTTTCTCCTAGAAATTTATAGGGGTAGCTTGTTCACCTTGTGCATACTCCTTCCTCACGTGCTATTCCTGTGCCGCACATAATGGACTTAATCAGCATGGTTTATTGTTATGTTTTTACAGAAGCTGGAGATTAAGTGTAAAGAAAATGGATGGCAAAGATTAAACAGAGGTATTGCAGGAGTGGCAGAAGGTCAATGAGATGAAGGTTCCTGAACTATGGTTCCTGTTTTTGGATTCCCATGAAATTTCTGTCTCCCTTATTGCTGTGCTTCACCTTATGATACATTACCACTGCTTAAGCAGTTCTTCCTTATGACCAAAACTGAGCAAAATGGGGCTGAAGGTGATTGGTAGAGGAAATACGGTAGTGATAAAGTTCAATGGGTTGAAGAGCCAAAGTATTTTCTGGAAAGGTGGATATTAATGTTGTCGTCAAATATCTTCCTAAGCCATTCTGGGAGCCATTTTGATATTTTGCTTTTGGGGAGCAATTTCATAAATATATTGCTCAATTTAAAAGGTAATCTTTTCCTTGATTTGTTCTAAAACTACCTCCTTCAAGCCTTATGACATGTTTCCAAGAGCCAGTGGTCAACATTGATGAATTCCATTTCTATCAAGGTTAAGGACACCAAAGTCTAAGGATGACTAACATATTAAACTAACATATTAAAATTATTTATTAATCACTGACCCCATTTCTATTCATGTGTAAATGCAGAACTATAATGCATGGTTTTGCTTAATCCCCCTATTTTGCCTTTGTTTGCCAATAATTTTTCCTCAATGAATTGATCAGCTTGACTCACCTTGAGGTGTATCTTTTCAGAGAGAAATTCCAATGTGATGAAACCCAAATATAAATTGAAATATTTACCTAAAACAAAAAGGATAAATATATTTAATTTTCTTCAACAGAAACAGAAAAAGAGACTATTAAGAGGAGATTTAAAAAATGAAAGATTAGGTGCTCTTACTTCATGCTGAAGTAAAATTCCTGTCAGAATTTCGAGGAAACTGGGGGCCGGCCCGGTGGCGCACTGCTACAGTGCGCCGCTTGGGAGCGTGGCGGTGCTCCCGCCGAGGGTTCAGATCCCACATACAGACCGGCTGCTCACTGGCTGAGCGAGGTGCGGGCGCAACACCGAAGGTTGCGATCCGTTGCCGGTCACGAAAAAAGACAAAAAGGAAAAAAAAAAAAATTCGAGGAAACTGAAGTGTTAATTAAGCACTATAAAACGCTGAGTGGTTCCATTCTTACCCCAGAGCTATATTAATATGTTCATGATAAACTGAACTTTGGTCACTTCTCTAGTTAAT